ACCCTGGCGATAATAGTCCTTTAGCTTGAACAGAATGTAACATCTTGGTCCATAGCAATGCTACCTAATATCAGTTCTTCTCCTAAAGGGTCAGCTGCCGAGGTCAGGTTCAAGTCAATCACAGCTGACTTCTCATCCTCATGGCTCTCATGGAAGCAGATGACCCTACTGCATATCCTGGCAGCCACCAGGAACACATGTGAAGAAGGCCATAGGAAACGGGCCGACTACGGAGAAAAGAATCCTTCTATAACCTTGATATTAACCTTGATTCTTCCCCTCTTCCGAACGATGCCAATCATGCCAGAACTAATGCGCGACAGTCCAGGACAAGAACATCTGGAAATACCTTAGATGGTTGTAGAACTCCGCTCATCGGCGCCATTTCAGATCAGTCCATAGAGACCACATCAACTCAACCCTCAAAGATCTCTTGTAAAAATATTCAGTCAAACCCATCTTCAGTAGACCGTCAATTTGATGTCAACCTCGAGGTTCACAGTGTCTACCCTTGTCTGTGTAACTTACACTCCTCTTCTCACTCGCTGACTCCGATGCGGGGCCAAAATTCTCTCCCAGTCCAAAAAAGAAATTCTCCCAATGATTCATTCTCCCCTCGTCATCCTCCTCTCCCTCTCACCTCCTCTCCCCCCAGGCTAGGGACTTGGGGTTTGATCACTTTCATCATCTTTTTCATCAGATCTGATTGATCTCTTGTCTTATAATTGCCCATCAATTGTTCCACAGCAAAATGGCTACCCCAATCCTCATATCCTACAACCCCACCTCTTCCTCCTCTGGTCTCTCCCTCTCCCAGATCGCCTACTTCGGCCGCGTCCTCATCAAGGTCTCCTCTCTTAGTCAAGCTGAGGAGTTCCTGCGTCAGAATTTCCGTCTCCTCGATGTCTACGTCGACGCTACCGACATCGCTTCCTCTGGTGACATTGTTGATATCCTAAATGCCGGTGCCGCCAAAGCATTCATTTCCCTCGATCAATTGACCTCGCTGTCCCAAGAGCAATCCGTTCCTTCGTCGCGACTCGTCGCTTATACCTCCTCCGACAGTCAGGTTGATGCCTTTCAGTCGTGGGTTGGTGAGGATGCTGAAAGAAAGGAAGCCGGAATCTGCACCGAGTCTGGCGACGTCAAGACTCTGGCCGACAAATTGGGCTTGAATCTTGAGGCTCAGAACCTTTACCGCACCTACACCACCAGCACAGTCACCGAGGACGCCGTGAAGGAAACATTGAAGCAGGGTGCCGTCAGCATTGTCTCTGCCGACGCCCTCACCCTCGATCACAAGAACCCCAGCGGCAAGATCGCCGCCGGCGCACTGGTTGCCGCTCGTGCTGTTGCGGACCAGAGCAACGGTCTGTACGCCACTTCGGTGACTGATGAGCGGGGAGTATGTCTGGGCCTTGTCTGGAGCAGCGATGAAAGTATCGCTGAGGCTCTCCGCACTGGCACTGGTGTCTACCAGAGCCGGAAACGGGGTCTGTGGTACAAGGGTCAGTCCAGCGGTGACGTGCAGGAGCTGATCCGCCTGGGCTTTGACTGCGACAGCGACTGCCTGGTCTTTGTTGTCAAGCAGATTGGCCGCGGCTTCTGTCACCTGGGTACCGCCAGCTGCTTCGGGCCTTACAATGGCCTTGCGCGTCTGCAAAAGACCCTTCAGGCCCGCAAAGCCGATGCACCGGCCGGTTCCTACACCGCTAGATTGTTCAACGAGCCCAAGCTGACCCAGGCAAAGATCATGGAGGAGGCCGACGAGCTGTGCCGTGCCACCACCAAGGAGGAGATCGCGTTTGAGGCTGCCGATCTACTCTACTTTGCCCTGACTCGCTGCGTGGCCGCAGGAGTCAGCTTGGAAGATATTGAACGAAACTTGGATCTGAAGAATCTCAAAGTCAAGAGAAGAAAGGGCGATGCGAAGGGTCCGTGGGCGGAGAAGGCTGGTCTGACTGCTACCCCTGCCGAAACGAAGCCCGCCGTTCCCGCAGCTCCAGCTAAGGAAGAGGCCAAGAAGGATGACTCTCGCATGGAGATGACCCGCGTGGTCACCGCCTCCACCCCCGTAGACAAGGTCAAGGAGTACCTCAAGCGTCCTTCTCAAAAGTCCAACGAGGCCATCGTGGGTCTTGTTCGCCCCATCATCCAGGACGTGCGGGACGGCGGCGATGCTGCTGTGCTCAAGTATACACACAAGTTCGAAAAGGCGACATCTCTGACGTCTCCCGTAATCCGCGCCCCTTTCCCCCCAGAGCTGATGAAGTTGTCGCCTGAGACCCAGGAAGCCATCGATGTCAGCATCGCCAATATCAAGAAGTTCCACTCCGCCCAGAAGGATAGCAATGACGTCCTCCAGGTGGAGACGATGCCTGGAGTCGTTTGCTCCCGCTTTTCTCGCCCTATTGAGCGTGTTGGTCTGTACGTCCCCGGTGGCACTGCCGTGCTGCCGTCCACCGCCATGATGCTCGGTGTCCCCGCCATGGTTGCCGGCTGCCAGAAGATTGTCTTGGCTTCTCCTCCTCGGGCCGATGGCAGCATCTCCCCCGAGATTGTCTACGTTGCCCACAAAGTGGGAGCCGAGAGCATTGTCCTCGCCGGTGGTGCGCAGGCCGTGGCCGCCATGGCTTACGGAACGGAGAGTATCAGCAAGGTTGACAAGATTTTGGGCCCCGGTAACCAGTTCGTGACGGCAGCCAAGATGCTGGTTTCCAACGACACCTCGGCCGGTGTCAGCATCGATATGCCCGCCGGACCTAGCGAAGTGTTGGTCATCGCCGACAAGGACGCCAACCCGGCCTTCGTGGCTTCGGATCTGCTGAGCCAGGCTGAGCACGGCGTTGATTCGCAGGTGATCCTGATCGCCATCGACTTGAACGAGAGCCAACTGCAGGCCATCGAGGACGAGGTCGATGCCCAGGCCCGGGCCCTGCCCCGGATGGACATTGTCCGAGGATCTCTGGCACACTCGGTCACCTTCGTGGTGCGTGACATTGATGAGGCGATGGCGCTCAGCAACGAATACGCGCCGGAGCATCTGATTCTTCAGGTCCAGAACGCGGAGTCGGTAGTGGAGAAGGTCGTCAACGCCGGCAGCGTCTTCATCGGACAGTGGACCCCTGAGAGTGTTGGTGATTACTCTGCGGGTGTCAACCACTCTTTGCGTAAGTTTCGTCTTTCCCGTGCAGGAATCAAGCTAACAACAACAGCAACCTACGGCTACGCCAAGCAGTACTCTGGAGTCAACCTGGGCTCGTTCCTCAAGCACATCACCAGCTCGAACCTGACGGCAGAGGGATTGCTGGGATTGTCCCGCACGGTGGAGCAGTTGGCTGCCGTTGAGGGATTGGACGCGCACAAGCGGGCCGTGAGCATCAGAGTCGCGACGATGAAGAAGAATCAGGCGTGATGACTTTTTGTTTTTCGGACTTTACGACGAGATGCAGTTATTGTATTCATTAGACACGAGCTTGACGGAATAAAAATTTAGTTTTCTTCGTTAAAGGGTTCCAAGACGTAAGATGAACGGTATTCACAGTATCTGCGCCTGAACTCCTCAAGCCTCTATTATAAACCAGATGAAAGAACTTTTGCTTGACCTCCAGCCCAATGCAAGTAAAAAAGGAAAAAGGTATCGTCGACATGAGCTGCAAAAAGAAAGACCAACCCGAGATCACTTCTTGCGCTCGCGGATCTTCCACTTGATGCCATCCTTGTTCGTCCCCCCAACCGAATTATCCATCCGCCCTCGCTGCCAGTCCAGCTCGCGCTCGGCGGCGGTGATATCGGCGTACTGCTTCCGAAGCGCCTTGAGCTTGTTCTCCCGAGTCTCAGCAGCTCTCTTCTTCATCTTGCGGACTCGACGAGCCTCGACGAGAGCCTGCCTCTCCGCCTCAAGTTGTTTCTGCGACTTTTTCTGCTGCTGCCTCTTCTGCATTTCACCAAACGACTGTTCTTCGTCCTCATCCTCCTCATCTTGATCTTCTTGAAGTTTCCGTTTCTTCAACGCGCGCTGCTCTCGCCGATCATCCGCAAAGACCAACTTCCTCGCCTTCTTCTGCCCGCGCTTCTCCTTCGGCCCGAAATCGAAATCAAAGTCGTCATCATCTTCCTCTATGTCGGATTCGCTCTCATCCTTCTTCTCCCCAAGAGCGTCCTGAATCCCTTCTTGTAACCTCACCTCCTGCTCCACCTTCTCGATCTCCCTCCGTAGCCGCTCCCCCGTCGTCCGCAGGTACGCCGCATCCTGCGTCTTGAGCAACTTGATCGCCTCATGGCTCAGCCCCCGCTTCGCGGCTGAGTCGCGCGCCGCAGAGCCGTGCTTGCCTTTTTTCTGCGAGTGCGCGGACATCATCCCGAAAGCGAATTCATCTGGGTTGCGGCTGGCGGCGAGTTCCTGGAGGCGCTTGAGTTTGGCTTTTTTGGCGTTGTAGTCTTTGGCGCGGAGGGAGTAGTCCTGTCATCTATTGTTAGTACCTCTGTTTCATTCAGCGTACAATATTTGAGGGCGAAGGGAATGGGGGCAAGTGTACTTTGTGCTTTTCGAGGATACCCCATTTTTCGCGGCCTTCGAGCTGGCCTCGTTCGCGGTGTTGCCGTCTTTGGACGGCGTTGCGCATGGAGGACATTTTGTAGGATGTGTCTTTTTCTGGTTATATTATATCAGCTAGATCGAAGGGTGTGGAACAGAAATGGTTGAAGTTGAAGAAGTGTTGGTGTCTGGAGATGAACTGCGGAGTTTGAAAAAATTCGGCTTGGCGGTAACCCGTAAACCTCATCGGACAACGTCTTATGCAGACTACGACTTGACTAACGACTACGGCTACGACTCGGCGTACCTGCCATTTCACACGTCAATTCACACCAGCTCTGCTCAATTGATCTTGTCCACGCGTTCGGGAATCTCTCAAACGCAATTATTGGACTATCCGTCCGAAAACTAAGTGTTCAGCCTGGCCCCCGAGGCATCGGCATCAGCCAGCAGCAGCAGCATCATGGCTTCAACATCAGCAGCAGCATCCACAACAGCACCAAGCTCATCACCATCAACACCTACACCACAACCCCAAAGCACCCGAAAATACAACCTCCACAATCCCCTCCCTCTATCCGCCGCCCAGGAGGCCGAAGTCAAGCAGCTCTACTACAAACGCGTACGAGCGCAGTGCGCCCCGGAGATCAAAGGTGTGTCTGCTCTGCGCCCGTTCAGCCCGTCTAGATCGATGAGGAGAGAAGTGCTAACAACTACAGCATTCGCGGAATGTGCCGTTAATCGAACGGTAACGGCCACCTGGGTATGTCGGGCTCAGCGGCTGGCGATGAACTCATGTATGGTTGCGCATGCGAAGCCGGAAGAGGAGGACCGGGCGCGGGAGGAGTGGTTTGCGACGCATGAGGAGAGGCGGCGGGCGAGAGAGGAGGAGTTGGCTCGGGTTGAGAAGAGGAGGGAGGAGGTGATTCGGATGATGAGGGAGGATGAGGCGCGGAGGAAGAATTCAGCTTGACACTCGAGACTCTCGACAGTCGGTCTGGCGTACATAGGGTGGCGTTGATTGATTTACATCATTATCATTGCGTGATTGATTGGGAAGACAGTCATTTCATTATGTACATGTACAATACGCTTTGCTTTGCTTGTTTGACCAGCGCCGGCATCAAACCTTGACCAATGCAAGATCATGGAATCTCCACACTCAACCCATGCGCCCAACTCCGTCTAAGGGAATTAAACATCCGTCATAGCCTTGTCTTCATCTCCTTCACCCTCCCCCATGGCCGTATCTTCCCCAAATATATCCTCCATCTTGCCATCCTCATCATCCTCGCCCATATCCTCATCCCCTTCCTCCTTGACACCCGCCAACCCACCACCAGCGTTCCTCTCCTGATCCTGACCGACGTCCGCCTGCGCCGCCGCGTCCTCGACCTCTTCCTCCCCTTCACTCTCCCACTCATCCTTCATATTCCACCCCGTGCCGGTTAGACAGAACCGCTCCGGCGGCAACCGCATCCCCCCCATTATAACACTCTGATTGGCCGCGGACGTACTCTTCGCCTGGGCCGCAGTGTCAAACCCCCTCGACGCACCCGGCAACGCCACGCGATTCCGCTCCGACGCAACATCCATCAGAAATTCCTTCGGCAGCCCTGTCTGGAACTGGTAATGGAGGCGCGACGCGATACTCAGCCGCAGCGCAGGGAGCGTCACGCTGTTGACTTCTACCGGGCCACGGCTGCTGCTTGGCCCTGCGTCTGTGGCGCCTGCGTAGCCCTCCGTCGCGAGGTGGACCGCGTCCTGGAGAACGCCTGAGGTGTAGCGGTACGCGAAATCGAGGAGTTGGAGCGGGACCCGTTCCTGGTATGCGGTTACGCCGAGCGAGGCGAGAAGCATGTGGATTAGGCGGACATCGCGTGGGCGCCGTGATTTGCCGCTGTCTGTGAGGGACGTCGATGGGATCTGCGTTGGCTGGGGAGTTGCGGAGGGCATCGCTGTGTTGGGTGCGGTGGTGGAGGTTCCCGTAGGGTGAGGTGGTTGCGAGGAGGCGGTGGTGTTGGCTGTGTTATTTGTTGATGAGGGTTCGGCTGGCGGTGTGAGAGGTTGATTCGATGCCGAGGCCGGAGCCTGTGCTTGAGCTGGCGATGCCATTGTATGTGCTTGATGTTGGATAAATGGATGGTGAAGTGAGGTGAGGTGAGGTGCGGTCGGAGAGAGGTGTGATAAAAATTGTCGAGAAATCAGCTATCGGTGGCACGTCTCAGAGCAGCATCCACAGCTAGACCACAGCAGCGTAGCATAAATTCGAGAAATAGAAGACTGCAATTTAACGACAGAGTGTGGTTGTGTCATTATTAAACTGAGGTTTTACAGTCTATCGGAGTTGATCGAGGAGCTGGATTTCGACTACTCCATGAGGCGCTATGCCATATTCGGAAGTCATCCCATCGGCTTTATTCGATGCTTGGAACAGCCCAACAGCGACGACCCATTCGACAAGACAGAAACAACTCGATTATATAACAATATGTACTTGTATCCTAACACTCTATCCAGGTGCGAATACTTCAAGACACAACTCTGAATCAAACCATGCAACTCGCTGAGAATCTCTATAGCGCCAGGTCGTCCAACAATGCTCACAACAAAAAAAAAAACGAGGCAACAATCAGTATGCAATTATTCAACGCCGCTTATGCAAAGAAATCAAGATGCCAGAGAGGCTCTGATAATGTGGGCCGACGCTGTCACGACAATTGATGCGAGGGTTGGGTATCATCGAGCGTTGCAAAGCCATGCGAGATAGCTTCAGTTATACCAAAAGAAGACGTCGGGATCTAGCACTTTCACGCTGTCTCGGTTTGCTCAAGCAGACCGAACGGGTTCAGCCGTCGGGAGAGGCCTTGAATTTAGCATCTTGGTCTCTGCGGCCATATCATCCGCATTTTCGTCTTCGTCTTCCTCGACCAGGGTTGAACCGTCTGCGGCCAAAGAAGCCTTTGACTCAGACAACCGAAGTCCATCCATCGACTCCTGTGAGATGTAACTCTCCCCAAGTTCGTCAACTTCCTCATCAATTTCACTGCCTTCTTCTTCGGTCAACTCGCCGTCATACTCCTCCTCTTCCTCGTCTTCTATCTCCTCGTCTAGCTCGTCTTCGTCCTCTTCGTCTTCTTCATCACTATCCGTATCCGAGAATATCTCAACATCCTGAGGAGCGTCTCTCCAGTAGGTGAAATCGGTACAATTTTCACCTCCAGGCTGGACCAGCAGGCTGACTGGTGGGAAGAAATGATCTAGCAGTTCCTGCATTGTCACATAACTGCTCTTGTACTTATTCAGGCTGAGAAGATCCAAGGATACCTCCGCGTTCGAGTTGATGGTAAAGATCCTGGTCGACGGAATGTTGACCGACCGGTAACTCAGCGCGTCTGTCAGACGGTTGCCGAAGCCAGCGTAGAACGGATTCTCCTTTCCGTTGAAAAGACCCAAAATGTCCCGCAAGCAAGCCATCTTGAACACCTCTGGTTTCCTCAGGTAGATTTCCCGCCTGAGCGCCGCAATCGTCCGGTCAGGGCTCATGATCACAGGACCCTTTGGTAATCTGTAGCCATCTTGGCAGACTCCGTAAAGGTACGTACGCGTGGTATCCGCCTGGCCTACAGATCGACTTGTGAGATACATGATATTGTAGCCGTTATTGACAATGTCGGTGTAGAGCTTCGCCACACCAGCATGTGTCCAATCCCGACCGATCATATTCAACACATGACCCAAAGCGTCGGACCTGCACTTCGTCAGTACCTTGACATGTAATACACAGTATGGAGACTAACTTGGTGATCGTCCCATCGATATCGGAAATGACAATCGGCGTGGTACTATTCCAGAGGTACATGGTCGCAGTACAGGTAGCTCTGTTCACACTGAACGACATTGGATTGGCACCAGGCTTCAGATTCAGTGCCTTGAGCTGATCACTCGTCAGGCGAAGAGTCTTGGCATAATTCCGGGTTTGCTCTCCTGGAGTCGAGTCTTGAGTAGGTGACTGCGGAGGGGTAGGGGGGCCTGGCTGCACATCGGATTTGGCACGGTGATGCCGAGTCGGATACGGCGACTCGGACACAGGGTGATCGGTGTCGCTGTGGTACCCAGGGTCAGAAATGGCATTTTCACTCATGGCCGAGTGCGGTCGCATCGAATTAAAAGTCGCCCGGCGGTTGGCAGCCTCCTTTGCCTCCTCGCTACTGTAGATCCACAAGTTTCCATGCTCGTCCGCTCCGATAAGGCCGCCAATGTCGTAGCTTCCCTCCAGTTCCTCCGCCAATATCTTACGGGCAATAAGTTCGGCACGCAAAGCGTCCTCCTCGTTGCTTTTGTAACCGGTCATGTCGAGCATGAGATCGCCCGTCTCATTGACGCGAGTTGGAATGTTGGATGACGACAGTTTCTTTGACAGAGAAAGTGCGCGTGAAACGGCTTCCTGCGGCGTGAGTAAAGGAGGACTCCGAGGGCGATCGGTGTGATTGTGGCCGTCGCTGGTTGTGGGACTGGGAGGCTGCGATCCAACTGCAAAACCACCCTCGTTGGAAGTACCGGTATTTCTCTTCGCTGTTAGTACAGGCTCAGACGATGCCCGGTCAAAACCTGGTGCGTTGCCCAAGGAGCCGCGGCGGAGTCGGCCGACACTGGTCTCTTCCGGGGATTGCGACAGAGGAGTCATGGCACCTATATCCATATGAGCAACAGCCTCAGATCCTGACCAAGGAAAGCGCCACCGTACCCAAATCACTAGATGCCCTCGCCCCTCTCGAAAGCAGAGGTATGTCCGAGCCTGCTTTCACATCCTGCGAATGAGTAGTGGCAGAGGACTTCTCGAGGTCCAGAAACTCCGGTTCCTGAAGAGAAGATGGAAGATCTTCCTCGCTCCGCGTTCTCGGACTGGCCGCCGGCGATACTAGCGGTGACGTCTGCAGCGAAGCGGGGATCTCGTCTGATGTTTCAAAGACGAAAAAGGCCTCTCCGCCCTCCCCGAGCTTCATCGCATAGTCCTGCTTGACTCCATTGACTTGAAATTCCACCTGAAGAAAAAATCCAGCTCAGTCAGGTCCGAAAAACAAATTCTCCGGGACAGCATATCGGTACCTTCTTCTCATATGGACGGAGCAAAGAGAATTTGCCGAATCGAACATGGAATGGTGAACAGGCGAGTGTTCCTATCGCAAGCATTAGCAACAAAGGGTTATAGAGACCACTAAGTATGAGGAGCTACCATCTTCCTGCTCGATGACGATGACATCAATGGCCCCGCTCAAGGTGGCTGGATTGATAGAATTCCATGTCTTCGACACCGAACCGCTGATACTTCGGACGTACTGCATCCCGAGATGGCGACGTCGGATGCGCCTTCAATTAATTCGGATGGACCAGGGAAGCGAGTAGAGATAGTGAAGACCGACGATTGAGATAGGTAGGGCAGGTAAGATATGTGTAGTAAAAGGTTTGAGACTATGTCAGCAGTCGGGAGGTTGGCAGGAATTGCCGCCTACATATGACCCATGTGACAATGCCCGAGAGAGCGCTCCAGCTGCGACATACCCAGCTGGGGGAAAACGAATGTAATGCCGTCTGAAACAAGACCGGGCTAAAATACAAGGAATCAAAGAGATCTATATTTGGACAACAAATAGACCTCTAAACAAAGCGACAAGAGAGACGAAGAGGAAAAGAGCAGGAGAATACAAAATGCAGATAGTAGTACCCAGATAAAGGATTCTGATGATAGCCTGTTGGCTGTTGGGGAGCACCTTTCGATGATGATTACTGCGGGCGCTCTCAACCACCCAACGAGCGGGCCAAGTCACATGTCACTGGCCGAATGGAAATGGATTCCTAAGGCTGCAGCAGATCGCTCAGAAAGGAAACTTCCTCGGTTTAGGTCTTGCGGAGGCAGGGCCGGCTGGGCAGCACTAAGCCTGATTGGGATCCCATTCTGCGCGCTACTGTTTC